AAATTTCACTAACATAGATGAGGGTCATAATGTAGACTAACCAGCAAATTAATGCCTTAATCCGTTTTTGTATCTCTGCCCCATCCAAGTTTCTTTATAAAATTAAAATCCAATGCAACTTCCTCATTTTCTGAATACCAGGAAAACATTCAACAATCTATAAATGTTTTCAAACATCATGACAGCTATCTGGGCTTTTCAAAAGAGTGTGAGTTGATTTTTATGGGTTTTTTCAAGCATAAAAAAAGTAATCTAAAGATCATCGCCGTCTGCAGACCCTTTTCACAGGGGCACGTGCCCCGTTATGAATCTACTGTGCCTCGGTATTTTTCCCCTTTCACAGCTCTGCTCTCACAGTGGAGAGAGGAGAACTCTCCAAAATAAGCCAGTTACAACTGATTGACAGCTCCGCAAAAATGAAGCTGGCCCGGGACGCTACCGTTTACTGTAAAAAAAAATTAACATCCAGCTCTCCCATCTTTCTGGCCATGATATACACACCTCATAGGATCATCACCACCACACCATCATAGGATGGCCCGAAATAGAAATAATAAACACTGACATGTATGTATGTAGAGGTGTTTTTTTTTTTTTTTCCCTTTTACAGTTTCACATTTCAGGTTTTCAGTTTTTAAGTATCTAATGAAGATAAATTGTGCCTTCATCAGTAGTAGATTAGAGCTAGTGGGCCAGCTCAATTCAGTTTGGGTCAGGTAGATATTTAATGAATATCTACAATTTATTTAATGAATAAATACAATTTATTTATGTCGCTTTATAATAAAAAGAATTAATAAAGGCTATAAAATATTTGCTTGCATGCTTGCATTTTTTTTTTAAAATAATTGCCCCAATTTTTTTTTTTTTTTTTTTTTTGTTTGGTGCCCTATTGTGCCCCTGACGCCCCTGCTAAATATTATATATTTGCAGCTGCAGTACAATTCATAACTTAATTAAAAAGTATGTACATTTATATCTTAAACTGTAATAATAATAATATCAATACTATAAATTAGCTTGGAGTTCACATTGGTCTGTTCGACATCAAAAAGCTCTGAGAAAGGCCTTGTATGATTTCAACGCTTTAACACGTTTTTTACGGTAAAAAGAAAAAAAAATAACCGTTGCATTATGGGAGTTAAAGTCTTTTCGGAAAGCGAACCCCTTACAGCGAACGAACGAGGAAGAACGGAAAGCCTACATATCCCATGATTCCTCAGCACTTACCGAACACCTGATTGTCAACAGAGAAATGTCTGCCGTTCGCGTGGAGGAGAGGCTCGCTGAGATGGATAAAGAGGAGAAAATTTGCTCTAACAGGTACACCGCTCTCACGGTGGGGGTTTTGTTCAGTGCCCTAAAATTATTTTTATTCCCAATTTTATGAAATGTTTCATTGTAGGAAAAAAAAAAAAAAATAGTGGTAGCTAAACATTTAAGCTACCACCCACACTGTGCCTTCCCTTAGTAACAAACTAAAAGCCACATACTTTGTATTTGCGAGTTAATTATAAATGTCCTAAACCATCGCAATATCCCTCGTGCACACGGATAGCCAACAGAAATGACTGAATCTTCATAGCAGGCGATAAGCTAACTAACCAATACATGCTCTGGAACTTTAACGTTCATTAAAGGCTCAAATGGTCTAACTACGGTGACAGCAAGTCCTTACATGGTGACAGTTTGTCCTTTCTTCGTGTTGTACCGCGATACATTAATGTTTTAATGTTGGATAAATATATCACATTTTCTCGTTAGGAAAATTAATAAAATTTCAGTTTTAGTGACTAAATGTCCATTTGAATATACACGTGTCATGCGGTCATATATAGAAATCATCTCTGCATCATCACTAGCCTTATGGTAGTTACCGCTATGTACCACAGGAGGTCGCTGCTGCATCACTGTACCTTTCACTTAGACTCATAAAATAACAGCATATAAGAACTACTTGTTTTAATTTGCATAGTTGAACAAAAGCAAATATTGACACTTTGCTAAAATAAAAATTGAGCTCTTGTATTTGGTACATTTTTAAGGTATTTTTCAAGGCTGCATTTTTAAAAACATGAAATTGTTCAGAGAGCTGTTCAAAATGGATTACCGGGGTACTTTTTGTTTTACACTTGCGTAAACAAAATGACATATTAAATTTGTCTAAGTCTAAGACAGGAAATGAATGAATGGTGCAAACACAGAGTAAAAGATTTAAAGTGGAATAAGTAAAGAAAGAAATAAGTTATATAAGTAGATTGATAATATATGTAGACTAATAGGTATTGGGTGATGTAGTGGAGATGTCTGCGTCTAAGGACGGACTGCTGCTAGTAGGGACCTGTTTTGGATGTGTGTGGTCCTGGTCCAGAGGAGGAAGGACTGAAAAAGTGTCTAGGGTGAGGGAGGTCAGGTCCAATCCTATATGCATATGTCTAACTTCTGGAGATAAAAAGATTGAGGAAAGATTAGAGTTTGTATCCAATCACCTTCTCTGCTGAATGGGCAATCCGCTGCAACTTGTCTCTATTCGAGGCTGCGGGAAACTAGACTATGATAATTAAGATGAGAACGGACTGTTGTAAAATGATGTTGTAAAAGTTCACCATCATCTTCCCAGGAAGGTGAAACTGTTTTTAGCTGCAATAGAAAGTAAATTGGAAAGCAAAATGACCAGATGTGCAGCTGTTAGTCAACAGGGAGAAAAGGAGAGGAGAAAAAGCGCATCCTTTGGGGAGGATCAAGTATTGATGTTCACAGACATGCTGCTCCAGCTTTATGAGCTGCTGCCTCACTGTTATGAAGTCAGTAATCCACCTGCACTGGGGGCCAGACTCATTCAGCTTGGAGAGCTTGTCTCTAAGCAGACATGGGGGTTGATGTGCAAAGCTGAAGGATGCTGAGGAGGGGGACCATGATGGCGGCATCATCCACAGAACTGTTGGCTCTGTAAACTGTGGTTTTGGAGTGTTAAAGTCGTCGGGAACCAGCCGTTCCAACCGTTGCATTTACGAATTCTCCAGAGTGGTGCCCGACTTTACACGAGTGAATAAAGTACGCGATTGTTGTGGCGGAACATTCGCAAGCAAGTTTGGTTGTGGCCGGTGTCTCGGAAGCATCTTGCTAACCAGTTAGCAACTTAATGCTAGTAGGTTCCCAATGGGAAATTACATTGGTACCAAGTAGCACTTAGCAACAACACTGTCAAGGAATGCTATGGACAGCAGAAAACATGCAAGAGGAGGAGAGTTTTGTGTCGGAGGTTGTGGATGAGTCACCTCAATCATACATTTATTTAGAGGAGGAAAGTGGGGACAGACTTGTTATGGAAGAGGACGCCGGGGCGACAGAAGCTTGGTTTGGTGAAGAAGGCTTACAGCTGTAGATGTTTGAGCCCTTGCCTCGCAATGCTGCCAGTTCTGTTAGCTCTACGCCTGCCGAAGAGAAAGACGTCCATCCCCTTAACACTGGGATGTAACTCAAGGGTAAAGCAAACGAGTCTTATTTTCAACCGTTGCGTATATTAGCTGCAAAATATAAATCAAGATGCTATGACCGGAAAATGACCGTTGATATATGATTGGCAAAATTTAGGTGTACAAGCTGACGTATAACTAACTTGCCTGCATAAGATAAAGGAAAAAAAAAACAGATTTTAAGACAGGGTTTTTTTCTCTAAACTTTGGGACAAAATGGCCTGATAAAGAGTAAATTCATATACATGTTTAAGCCAGAATGATTTGACATTTAATTATGGCTTCCCTATAACTTTCAAAGTTTGTAAATCATTGTGGAAATGTTTTTTACTTGGGGAAAAAAAAAACGGTTTTGTTTGCGTTTTCCTACTAAACGTGTAACCATCAATGTTTGGTATTAAATGGGGAGTTAGTTTGCTGGTATTTCATTAACAACGTTGTTTTTGCAGGTTAAAAAGCACAACCTTATAGACACATCTGACTCATACCTCTGATAGAAAAGCCTCATAATGCAGCCCATTCATTTAATCATAAAGATTAAACTTCTGTTTGTCATGAAAATCACACCAGATCTTCCCTTCCCCATATTCCTTGTTTCTCTCATTTTGCCTCTGCTGTGTTAGACTTGGCCTTGGAGCTGTAGCCATAGAGAGCAGCTTGAATGTTTGACATAGCAACTAGCCGGAGCTTCTTGTTTCACTGTGGCTTTCTTGTCCTGCAGCTGTCTTTAACCTGCACTTTAAAGCTACTGCCACATTCCCAAAACCACATTTAGGATCAGAGGAATTTCCTTGTGGTTTGATCTAGGGAGAAAACACAAGCTGGCTTTGTTTGTCGAAGCTCAGAATAATTGTAGAAAAATAAATGTTGGTTTAGACTAAGCCGCTTCTTCAGTGTTGTTGTTTTTTTTGTTTTGTTTTTTCCTAAGTTTGAGAAAATGTTAAATAATAATAATAAACTTGATATTTTCTTTGCTTGTCCGTCCGTGCATGTTGTGTCCCAGGAGCGTAAGGGTGCAGTTGGATACGAATGTTGCCGACGGCCTGTTCTTCAGACTTTCAGCTGATTGAGCAGGAGTGTTGGGTTTCATCATGCTGTTTATTTCCTCCGTCCTCAGTGGGAGTGACGACTGGGAGGATCACAGATCTGTGTGTGTGTGTGTGTGTGTGTGTGTGTGTGTGTGTGTGTGGGTGTGTTTGTTTGCAGCAGCGTTGACATCTCCAGTCTCGGTGTCAGACGGAGATGTAGCCAGTCTCTGCAGGGTACAAGCACATTGCGTCCTCCCTGCTCTCCTCCTCCATCACCTCCCTTCCTTCTCTCTGTTTCTCCATCTTGTCACCTCTTCAGCTAAGCCTTGGATCCAGTCAGCATCATAGTGCAACAACAGCTAACTGAAAAGTTTCTTAATGTGAGTCGCTGTCATCTAGTCCCGCTGTCGATCTCCAGTTGCATTTAGCAACACCGACTGTCCAAACTGTAGTTGTTTATGCCAGCGTTAGGGAGGTAGGGCTCTAACCTGATGCTATTAATACAAACTAATGAACACAATCTGGAAAGGGGGTAGGTGATCCTCTTAGATTTGCTGGCTGAACAGCCAAAGGGGAGGAGCAGGGAAAGAGGAGGGAAAAGCTGTGCTTTACTTTCACACTGTCGTGCTCTCCTACAGCCAAGCTCTGGACTCCTCATCTGTTCAAAGAACTGGAGAATCTGAAAGCTAAACACATGCTTTAAGTTTCGTTTCTTGCCCAAGTTGATTTCCCCTCATATCTCTAATTCCTTAGATTCTCTGGCTGTTTTTTAACAAGGGGCGTGGTGTTTAAACCTGTTATTGTGCTCCGATGTATTAAAATTATTACCTGTTGGCCGTAGTGTTGAACTGACACACAAAGCAAATCTGAAATACTTCCTACCATCATGAACACAATACCAGCTTACTCAGGAGCTAGAATATCAGGCTGTTGGACTCTTAGATCCGATGGCAGGTAAGTGTCTTATTTAATTCTTTTTCAATGATTTCATCTTTCTTTTTTAAGGTTATAAAGGTGCCTTTTTTGGTGAATGCGTAACTTTAATTTCGAGCTCCGATTGGTGTTAAACTTTGGCTCAAATGAATGTGGGTTTTATACTATGAACATTTGGATTAAATCATGACTGCATCTTTTTATAAATCTACTTTTATGTTAACTAAGACAAGAGCGACTTTTGGCTTGTTTTATAGCGTTTAAATGTCCTCGTGTTTGCAGTTTTATTCATTGACAATTATTCATATTCCATGTGTGCTTCAGAGGGTTTTCTTGTTTACCAGCAGTCTGACCTTTTGTCAGCCTTTTTTTTCTCATTTCAAAGCTGCATTCATAGTTTGCACTTAACATTTGGGAGCAACGAACAAAAGCATGATTCAGCACAGTCAGGAGGGCTAATCTCTTATGGCTCCCTGGTTTGGCTTTAACAGATAACCCAGTTTGAATGAACCACGTCTCATATGTAGCTCTTTGCGTCCACTCCCTTGCTTCACCCAGGTGACTCTGATTAGATAAGATAAATCTTTGCCCTTTTTTTGTTTGTTTACCAAACCCCCCCTGGAGACTCCACCTGAGGAGGTATATGATCCCTGTAAAGAATTTAGAGACTGAGAGTTGACTGGATGATTGCAAAGGTCTAGGAATTTCTCTCTTCTAGTCTGCTTTCTACAGTTATGGCCTCTGGCTCTTTACAGTCCTCTCTGGGTGAGGTGTGGATGTCTCGAATACTAAAGTAAGTGCTGCTAAAAATTAGATGCGAGGTAGATTTCTGTCTTAGAATAGTTTTGAATGATTTTCCATTAGTGGTGAATCAGAAGAACTTTAATGCTTTGTTTTTCGGTTAAGTATGACTCATTTGGCCAATGCAGGAATGCTGCAGATCCACAGAGAAAGTTGAGCCTCAGAGAGGTGATTCTGTTTGATGATTAGCCACTGCCATTATGAGCTCAATAACATTTTACTGCTGCAAATGAAGCAGCCATAATACTGCTTTTGCAGTTCCAAGCCACTATCAGTTTCTGTAGATGCAGGAGTTTGGTAATGAGTCACAAAACACTTGCAGTAGTCAGTATTCTCACAAAACACACAACTGCCCATTGAGTTTACTTTGAGTAATTTATGCAAAACTACTCCATGCCTCTGTCCTGTCAGATCCTCATGCCTGATTTGAATCAACTTGATGTTATTTGTTTACTGCCTGGTTACTGAGATGATGAATTTGCTTAGTAGGTACTAGTTGCATGATTCAGCAGGTTAGTAACGATCGACACATGAACAAAGACTGGATTTATGCCTCAATTTTTCATTCACACACCATTTATGTGTGAATGAAAAATTGAGGTATGGTTTTGTTCAACTTCTGGAGGTCCTGAATTGAAAAAAATAAATTCTAAGATCTGATAGTGGTATAGCCTGCCATCAATGTCTTCTTCAAATTCAGGAATCTGCTGCTTTACAGGTAAAAACATTGTATTTCTATGTGTTTTCAAAGTCCAACACTCTATTTGATTTTGGACCAGACATTTTTGTTTCAGTCCAAAAGAGCTGGAGCTTTTTGAAAGAGAAAAGATGGAAATCTTTGTGATTCCAATAGATTTGGTTCTACATGACATGAACACAGTGAAGCAATTATTGTCCATCAAATAAACTCCCAGTGAAAACACAAAGATGTTTGTGACTTCAATGCTATAAAAAGTTCAAGGTTGATAAATGCTTTGTATCTGTGCACCAATTAAACATGGGATTGCACCTCCTAAATCGCAACTTCTGAACTGTGTGAGATAACAAGATTACAACCTCACTTTCACAGTATTAGGATCTTTCAGTTCTGGGTAAAGCACAGTTTACAGCTGTTAACAATGTGCCCGTCTTGTCATTTTGTTTTTTTTTTTTAAAACAAAAGCTATACACAAATTCAAAATCTATTATTTCATATTAAAACATGTTTTAATGTTGAGAAACATAATATCTTCTAAGCATAGATTAGATTCATGGATTAACTTCTTTTTATCATTTGCATTTATCCTTAAATCAGCTGTAAAAGCTCAATTTTAGCTGCCCCGTTTTCTAAATCAGTGTACAAAGTTCAGTTGCTGAAGATTGGAGAAAAAACCTAAACATTAACACGGAAGGAGGTTCAGTAGTTCATCACTGGTACAGTCTTGTTTACTATCAGTTAACTGGGCCACTTTTCATCAGGTTGTGTTTTTACATGCAGGATTTTTCCTGTATTCATGCATTACGCATAAAAATGGTCAACTTTATAAATCATTAAATAAATAAGTTGTTTTGATTCATATGAACCATAAAAGGCAACTTCAGATTGAGGTATATTTAAAAACTGAGAAAACAAAGACGATTTTCTCCTTGCTGGCTCCAGACACTGATCCTGTGACCTGCTGTGTGTTTGTTCATTTAAAGTGGAGGCAGTGAGGGATCGCTGGACAGACTGCTTCCCTCTGTCGGCATGGGCCTTTCTCCCAGGAAGAGGACCACCAGTCAGTGTAAATCGGAGCCTCCGCTGCTGCGCACCTCCAAACGAACCATCTACACAGCTGGTCGCCCACCGTGGTACAACGAGCATGGGACACAGTCCAAAGAGGCCTTTGTCATTGGTAGGAAACTGTTCATAAACAGATATGTTTTATCAGGATCAATTCCTCCTGTTATTTTGTAACGGTGAGACATTAACTAAAAGTAAAACATTTTTCTGTGTGTGCCAAACCATGTGTATGGTCAGTTGTATGCTTTCAGTCTTACTTTTGTAGATTTTCTTCTCCTGTCCTAAATGACCTTTAGTTATTACTTCTTTGTGCTCCATTTTATTTAGAAGTTGCTTTAATCCACGTGTGTATTTGGAAACCATCTCTTGACAATATTTGTTCATTTACTGTGTTGTATTTTTGACTGGGGTGCTAAATAAAAGACAAAACTACAAGTCCCATAATGCAATTCTGCAAATCGTCTTGTTGGTTGACAAGTTTTATTCAGCCTACAGAGAGAACTGGCTTTTCTAAATCTGTTATTAATAACTAGGATTAAGCTTCCTATATATACCTGAAAGGAATTAAAAGTTAGCCACTATGGATTAAAGCATTTATATCAAAAACAGATTAAAAGTTGAAGCTGAGATGCTTAACTTGCTTCAGATATGAAAACATTTTAGGTTTTGCTTATTAGATAATATCTTAGGTTATTTGATTTTGTTATTCATTAAAGTTTGGGGGTTTTAAAGTTAAAGAAAACTGAAGAGTACCGTACTGCAGGGTCAGGGTACCAACAATTATTCAATCAATGCCGCAAAATGTATTCCTGAAGCAGGTCCCAATGGAATTTTATAAAGATTTAGTTTTTGGTTTCTCATCCACCAATAATAGCAGAAACTTCCAAAAGAAAATCACCTCTTAAGCATTTTGCAGGGGAATCAAGTCTTTAAATCCTGTTAAAAATGTTTGTCCTAATTTTGATTAGATCCTATTTCTTTCAATTTATTTATAAAGATATTATTTTGCAGAAATTCCAGGTTACTGGATTACTTTTTATTGAGCCTACCTTGTTCTTTCACTGCAATGACTATCTATGGTAACTGAAAGTTGAAAGGGTTTTTGTAAATAAGAATCTTACAAATCAACCAAACACATCGGGTTCCTGTCTTCTAAGAACAACTACTAGATCTGATCTATAGAAAGGCCCTGATATTTCCAGACTTTTGATTCTTTTATCATTGCTGCATAAAATGCATCCTATGTAATAATAAACAGATCATACAAACATTTTTGTTATGCAATATATCCATATTGTTTACTATGGTGTGAGAAAACTCAGGCCAGAGAGAGCTGGATGTTAGTGAAAGTAAGCCAGGAAGTGTGACAAACTCCTACGCATTGCTGCCTCAGTGCTTCACCATCTAAGAGGCACAACTGAATCTTTGAATCAGACTCTAAATAAGAACAAGATTCAGACAATTTGATTTAAAAAATAAAATTATCCACGGTAAAACCAGCTAGCTTAATTGCGTTTTGGGGGTCAAATTTTATATTTATTTATTTTTTTTTGCTCACCAGAGATTTACAGGTTTGATAAATTATTGAGAAATAACTGTTGTATGAATGATGACATCAATGTGACACCAACTGTCAAATACTATCTCAGTGCAATCAACATCAACTTGCGTCTATATTTAAGTAGTAAAAATGTATGTGAAAAATGCAAAAAGGAAACAAGCCTGTGGAGCTAAAATGAGAACAGAACCCCTATAGAAAAATGACATAGACTCTTTGTTCATGAAGAATAAGAGTTCAAAGCAAAACGGACTTAAAATCATTCAGTAAAGATATTTTTGGCCAAATATTGTAACAAATCCAACTTTTTCTCACACTTCTGTTTATCTGACATTGTGAGACTTATCTCTCTATTTGACCTTTAGTACTTTCTGCTTTTCTATTGTGACAGGTCTTTGTGGAGGCAGCGCGTCAGGAAAGACGACAGTCGCCAGAAAAATCATCGAAGCTTTAGATGTTCCCTGGGTTGTTTTACTCTCAATGGACTCCTTTTATAAGGTATGTATAATAAAGCAGTATGTTAAATTTGTTTCATCTGTTTTCAAAAAAGGAAATTGTCTAGAGCTGTTTTAAACGAAATTTCTTTTTGTTTACAATTGTGTATACAAAATGACAAAATAAATCTATGATCTAAGATATTTACTCCTTTCTTAATATTTTTCATAAATGGAGGCATATTCAAATGCAGACAAATAAAACAATATGATTTTTGTTTTTTGTCTGGCTACTCGCATCACTCTCCTCCTCTGAAGGAGAGTGATGCGAGTCATTTTATGCGAGTCATTTTATTTCTGTCCTTTAGCCCCCCACCGGGCCTAAAGGACAGAAATAAAATGAAAAGAAAAAGAAACCAAAGTAAAGTTGAGTTAAAATCTTGAGGGGGTTTAAACGCAGTAAAAGACGAGACAGGAGGTGAGTGAATTAAAAAGACTTAGTGCTAGAGTCAAATGAGAGACAGTATTTCTGCCCCTCTTCATGTTCGCCCACTCTGGTTGCGTAATCCTATTCTACAGGGGGTCATACCCGAACGAGGACTGGTGCTGTTAAAGCTTTCAGCCCAGTTTCTCGCTGCATTAACTGAGATTTCTTTTTACCATTAGCAGCTCAATTTTTCCTGTTGGAGTCGCTTACAGCCCACACACAGCGGGGAAAATCAGTTTGTCATATTTAGTGTGTAATCAGCTCACTTAAGAAGGAGGTGTTGGTGTTCAGAAACTGCCAAATAGCAGGTCTGGGCTTTTCAAAGCACAACCAGCCTAAGGGTAGACTCACACACACACACACACACACACAGAGACAGCACCTGGTACAGACGTCACAGTGGCGCATGATGTTCTACTAAATTTAGGTTCCTAACTTCAACTGCACTTGAACAAGGATCAGTAATTTATATCTTGCTAGTGTCCGACTCTTAGTTTCTACAAATGAGTTGCATGTAATTATTATTAATATTTAAGGGTTTGTGTTTTTTTTTTTTTTTTTTGCATCATAAAAACACATACGTATTTTTCTACAGTGGAAGTTATGCTGCACTGAAGCAATGTCCCTGTCCTCAGGTCCTGTCCCCTGAAGAGCAGCTGCTGGCAGCCAGCAATGATTATAACTTTGACCATCCAGACGCCTTCGACTTTGATTTGCTGACGCACACCCTGCGCAAACTCAAACAGGGCAAGAGTGTGAAAATCCCAGTCTATGATTTTGCCACTCATGGGAGACAGAAGGAGTGGGTAAGGAGGATTACACAGTCTATGTTGTGTCGCATCAACTTCCTCACATTTTCTCACGTTAAAACCACAAGCTATTTTAATGGGGTTTTAAGTGATTAGCCCAGAGGTTCCAAAAATGTTCTTCATGGGCCTCTTCTATTTTACTGTTCAAACATTTTTACAATTTCAGTCAATATGCTTAATTTTAACTACCTCTCCCAGTTGGTCACTTATCCAGTTCATTTCTACCATTCTTTCCTCCAATTAAACTGACCCCAGAACAGTGTGATAAACTGGCAGTCCGCCCAGGGCTAACCCTGCCTCTTGCCTAAAGACTGCTGGAGGGACGATAATATTCAATGTTCTCTCTCAGTTCTAAACTATCTACTACTTGATGTAATTAATTAGTAATAGTAGCCTTGAGATGAAATGTGTTTTAATTTAAGTGGTATATAAATAAACTTAATTTAATTGAATATCCATAGGTGAAAAAACACACTTTTCATGGTGTAATGGAGGAAAAAATCTCTACAATTAAAGAGGAAGGAATACTTTTTTCCCTGTTGTTCTTTTCCAGCCTTCCTTGGTTATTAATTAATCTGATCCGTCACCATCTCACTGTTTGAGCAGTTAACCTGAATGTTATGTCTCTGATTACCACAGAAAACAGTTTATGGAGCCAGTGTCATCATCTTTGAGGGAATCATGTCCTTTGCAGATAAAGCTCTGCTGCAGGTAACTACTGATCTGCAAATCATTGAGAAAGCCTGGTTTGGTTCATAATTTCATGTCTTGTGTTTTATCATAATGGAATATGCAGGAAAACCGAGGTAAATCTTCGAATTATGTTTTCATAAGTATTTCCTCTCTTTGCAAAGTAAACAAGCAAGAAAACCTCATATATATGCGTATGTAGACTGGTAAAAAGGAGCAGAAAAATGACTAAATAAAATTAATTCAGTGTCTGTGCTGTATATTTTTCTCACAAAAGAGTTTGGTATTTTTACCTTTAAATGTCAATCATTTATAAATATATTAAAAAATTTTTATCCCCTTTTCATTGATAGTTGTTTAAATCCTAGCATCCAAACTATTTTTTTTTTATTTCCTTTATCCATCACGGTAATACTATAGAGAAACATTTTCAGTAAATATTTTGAATAAATATATTTTTTTACTCATCGTCATCTCTTTTTCATTATACATTTTTATTCTGATTAATAAGGACGCATTCCACACCATTGTTTAAAAAACATGGCTACTTGTAAAAATTATTTGTTTGGAATGCTATTGTGTTTTTTAATAGAATAACTTTTTAAGGTCTTTATTATTTTATGAATTGTAATAATTTTTGATATACCTTTCAAAAAGATGTTTATTTCCCACCAATATTAATCCAGTTTGTCGCAAATTGAAATAGTTCAAATAAAAAAGACATTACAGTCGGTAATCTTAACTGAAACAGTTAAAAGGGTTTATTTCAGTCCTTCAGCATTATTACCCATTAATCAAACAAGTTTCAGTAGGTTTTACTTTTGGAGATTTTATCCATGATGAAAAATAAAATATTTAATACATGTGAAAAGATGCTTATTCACCACCAACCTATTAGATGTCCATGTTTAGCTTCATTTGTATCTGTTTAAAATAAAACTTTATTTTGTACCAATCGTTTTTCTGGCCGTTTCTTCAGCTGCTCGACATGAAGATCTTTGTGGAAACCGACTCTGACATCCGCTTGGTCCGTCGGCTGAGGAGGGACATCATGGAAAGAGGCCGAGATATCGAGGGCGTCATCAAACAGTACAACAAGTTTGTAAAGCCCGCTTTTGAGCAGTACATAGAGCCCACCATGCGCCTGGCTGATCTGGTGGTGCCACGAGGTGAGCGCTCACAAGCACACTGCATGAACCAGTCCAGAAACAAAGATTCGACCTAAAGATAAAGATTAAACCTGTGGTATAACAGATAAATGAACCCTGCAAATACATGAGCTGTTGTCATCCTGTTAGGTGGTGGCAACATGGTGGCCATTGACCTGATTGTGCAGCATGTTCACAGTCAGCTAGAGGAGGTAAGAGAGGTCATAACTCAGAATTTTACTGACCTAAACAATCAGATATTCAAATAGATGTTAGTATAGTCCAATTTCCCTTCATGCGTCCTTGTTTGTGTTGTTTTATTACAGTACTGATGCTTAACAATCATCTCTCTGTAGGCTTGTTTTTACTCATACTCCTACCATATTTAACAAGCAAGTGTTGCCACTCCCTCTAGTGGATGATGGTTGTACTGCCTACATTTTAAATACTTTTTTTTTGGGAAGTGTCTTTGACTTCCCAATTTATTTTATTTATTTATTTTTTATTTCTATTTAAAGTGCACTTAACAAAGAAGTGCGTAGTTTAATTTTTTGATTTTTGTGTTGAAAAATCATCGATAAAACATAGATTATAAGGCATTCAAGATGTTTTCCTGTCTGGTTTTGGTTAATTTCAGAAAAAAAAACTATAGCAGAAATGGTTGTACTTTTGTACAATTAAAAAAAAACTGCCCGGTTGCATCATGGGATCTCACCACGTTTGTTTAATGAATGTTAGATTTTATCATAAAATTAACACAATACACAGAACAAGTAATGATATATTTTATCTAGTGGTTGCAAACTTTTAAGTTAAGCTGCTCTGTTTCTACAGCCGTGGCTGCTTTCATCTATGATATACTGTCTGCGATCCCATGATGTTGTTAATAGGGGGCGACTCATGATGCTGGCTTTTGGTCTTTAGAAACAACGGCACTAATCACCAGTTTTGTTTTTGGGGGGAGCACTTCTTTTGTTATGGCATAGTTTGCTTTTTTTTTGTCCTCCCCACCACAAACACAATATCACACATGCTGCTGATGGATTGCTCTCTCACTCTCTCCCCCCCATCCGCACCCTCCTTTGCTCACAGCGCGAGCTCAGCGTCAGGTAGAGTGGCCTTTATCTTGTCTGTCTTTCTCTCTTTGACATCTTCCCAGTTCTCCCATTGCTGCAGCTTCTTACTGGAAGGAAGAGAAATAATCGCTGAACACAGACCAACATTTTTTCTCTCCATCATGCTGGCTGCCATGACACTTCAGCAGGCAATGCTGTTATACCTTCTATTGATGAGGGACGTAGTTGTCAGCAGTTTAGCACTATGGTGGGAATCTGAGCCCACATATATTATCGTGCCCACAGATGTTTCCCACATTTTGTTGCATTACAACCACATAACAAGAAATTATTTTTTTAACAAATAATAATCTGTAAAATGTAGCTTACATCTTTAACATCTTTCAACTAGTTGCTTTCAGAAGTTACCTAAAAAGATAAATGGACCTGCTTGAGTAGAGGTAGATGATATTGATGAACAGTAATCAGTAACTTAA